CATTTCTCAACTTCAGTTGCGCTCTCCTCTCTCCCATCTCGTATCTCTCTCTCTAGACCGTAAGAGTCGCTCAACGCCCTCCCTCCCTCTCTCTTTCATGTCAGTGATACGTACTGACCAAGGGGCAACCTCCGGTCTCGAAAAATGAAGCCTATGCGGAAGTACAAAAAACTGCAGTTCCTCGAGGTTCCGCTTGAGGCTGGCTGCAGAAGCGCCGGAAGTGCCATAAGCCCACAGCTTTTTTACCACAGGAATCAACATGTTTACAGCCTGGTTCAAAAAACGAGATATATCTGATAAGTTGACGGCCCCTTCTCCTCACACTGTGGGGGGGGTGAATTTTTTTATAACTCATCGGATTTTATTCTATTAAGGAAAAAGGCTATGCCCATATTAGGGTTGTGGCAGATTTGATTGACAGCTCTGCGCGCTGCGTCTGTCTGTCAGGTCAGCAGGTCAGGAGGCTAACAGCTTGATCCGTCTGATTTCTCCTCTTTCTTACTTCGTTTGGAGAGTTTGTTTAACACATATCTGACAACATACATGGCTTGCTGTGCGGTTTACAGACCATCCAACAAGTTGATGCCACAGTTTTTTTCGGTAAGTGATATAGTAGTGTTATATTTACTGCTTACTCATGTGCCGGTATTTATATTTACGGACCTAGCTTGTTTAGCGTTAGCTTGTAAACCAGTCGGCTAACTGTGTAGCTCATTATTTACATTATTTACGGTTATCATTTTGCAATGACTCTGTTCCATCCCATTTTAAGAAATGAACTGAATTAGTATTTATCAAAAGAATAAAAAGTTGTGTAAAAGTAGACTTCCTTCCCTAAGCTATTGAGTTGAGCATTAATGCACATTTTAGTCTTGTCATTTCATCAGTTTTGATTTGATGAAGAATAAGAGTTATTCACAATAAGGCGTGTAGCTGACCAGCTTGACAGGCAGGCACGGTGTAACGGTTTGTCAAGAGGCTTAAAACCCGTCTCAGCTCTCAGCCTGTGGGTGTCATCACTCAGGCCATCCGGGGGAGACCTCCCTCACAGCGAGCTGTTGAAGAGAAGCAACTGAAGTCCACCCCAGAAGAACCAACAAATGCAGATGTTGTTGAGGCTCAGGTTTCTTCCTCTGTCTCTGCACCTCGATGGACAAGTCCCCAATAATCCACACTGTGTCTATAAGAGAAATACAAAGGTGTTCAATTAATGACTCAGACAACACAAAATGTACAGTTAACTACATGTGACAGCTCAGGGTGTTTTTTTGTTATGAGCCACATCTGCAGGAATAATATTGAACAACGTAGCTGCAACTCATAATAATAGATGCCAGTCTTAAACACTATTTTTTCTAATACTTAAAGTTTTTGGTGTGAAGCTGACACTGTCCACAGACTCCATGACTTCACGGGGTTCAATAGAAAACAAATATCTTATAATAAATACTAAATCATTATTTTTCAATTGTCATGTTTACCCACATCGCTGTTGACATCAGTAAATATAAGACACAGACATTCCTCTTTTTGTCAGAACAGTAACATGAACTGTATGCTTTGTAATATTGATTTCTTCTGGATGTCTCATTTATTTACAGTTTATGGATAAAACTTTGTTAATGTATTGCTCTGCTGACACTGACAAAGTCTAACTGCTCTGACAAATCACTAATAACCATAGTTGTATATTTAACAAAGTGTAGTTTTAAGACTTTAATTAAATATTTGGGTTGAATATAATTAGTTTTAACTGTGTTGTAGAAAAGTTAAATGTTAACTTACTGTTTATAGAGTTTTCTCCGGACGAGCAGGAATAGGGGATGATAGCAGTCAATAGCTGTCAATTGGACCGCTAACGTCGAGCTGAATGGGCGGAGTTAAGTCCCGCCGGTCCCGCCTTACTGCTGTTGCTAGGTTGATCCGAAGTTAGGTTGAGACCGCAAATCCAATATGGATGCGGCCGTCGATTGGACTCATTTTCTGCCTATGTCACAGACGGGTCAGGGTTCGTCCAGTAATATTTACAGTCTATGGTACTGACTGAACCAACAGGAGGAGTCGGTCGGGAGCTCTGTGTCGCTAAAGCCCGCCCCTTCTTCTCCCTCTCATGTCTCCAAAATTGAGGAAGTAGAAAATATATTATTTAACATTTAGGTGTCGCGAAAATGTATGTGCTTTTTATAGCTGCTGTTAGTTTACAAACGGCTTTTATATCCAACTTAATTTCAATCAGCTGACTGTTTTAACATCTACTAACAATCGTGTTTCAGTCAGTACATTGTGTGTGTGTGTGTGACTGAGGCTGGTGACTCGCAGTCTCGCTCGTTCACAATCACTGAACGAACTGAACGAGAGCTCCAACGTGAATCACTGAGTGAACTGAGAGGAAGAGCGGAGCTCTCGTTCAGTTCGTTCAGTGAACGAACTGAACGAGAGCTCCGCCTCCAAGTCACTCTCTTCCTCTCAGTCAGACAGTCAGTGAGTGATTTGTGTATTGAACGTACTGAACAGAACGGTGAGGGGAAAATAAATGTGATTGTTTTAGCAGCTTTCAGTTTGCAAACTGTAACTTTATCCAACTAAATTCTCAGCTCATTAGTTTATTATTCACCACCGGCTGTTCTCAGTACGATCGCGAGCAGAACTAAACGTTCGGCCGTGTTTCAGCTTATTAAATTCTGATTCACAGGCAGAGCTACTGAGAAGTACTGAACGATTCGGTGAACGAATCTTTTGAACGAATCACTTTACTGAACTGATTCTACTGATTCAGTACACTGAAAAGAACTGCTTTTCACATCACTACTGGGAGCTGGAGTCTGACGTCACTTTCCTGCGCCGTCCACTTCATTTTCGAGTTGGTTTGAATTATGATCACTTTTTAGCACGGCAAGTTTGAAAACGAAAAGCCAAAGACCTTTTCTTTTTCATGTGAATGATGTCATACAATATGCATACATAAATAGTAAAAGTATAATGCAAACTGGATGACTGAATATTTATTTAAAATATAGGCAAAATAAAGCACCTATATTCTGAAAATTAAAATGTATTTCTTTTACTGTATTTTCATTTTAAAATTAGCTTTTTCATTTGAATTATGATACAGATTTAGCGGGGCATTTTTTGAAAATGATAAAGCAAATGTCATTTTCTTCCTCATTTTAATTTAGTCAAAGAATGTGCATTTTTGAAGTTGAAAACTAAAATTCAAATTAGATAAATTAACCATTTTATTTTTGAGTCAAATAATATACCCGTATTCTGAAAATTAAAAAGCATTTCTGTTACTGCATTTGAATTTTCAAATTAGCTTTATCATTTGAATTCTGATCACTAATCGCTTCCATACTCTATAACCCTAAAGCTGAAACAGTCTCAGTGGAGGGAATTCCTGCCCAGTTAATCTGTAAACATTTATCGTTCCTCAAATTTAATCTGCTGGAGATTATCAGATTGGAATTAATGTATGAAGATTTTAAATAATCTTTCATCAAAGAGAATTGTTGAACTCTTGCTCAACAGGCTGTTTACTATACAAACCAAGCACAGTCCAGCTGCAGTCCAGATTAAATACTGATGACCCAGTTTAAATGTGTGTTTTTCATTCCAGTTTCAAGCGTTCAGGCGGGCAATAACCCCTGGAGAGACTCTATGTCTATGAGGATTGTGTGTCAATGAATATGTCCTCTTTCTCTACCATTCTTGTAAATATGACATCAAAGGATAGGATAATATGCCCCTAAAAAGGCCTGTTACACTTTCATTCTGAAAAAAAAAAAAAAGATGGATTCAATTGATCAGTTAAAAGGGGGCCTTCAGCTGCCAGGGGTCAAAATTTTATTTTTTTATGTCTCCAACAGAGCCTGTTGTGTGTCACAAACCTTGTAAGAACGGTGGAGTTTGTGTGGGCCTCAACAGGTGCCAATGTGCCAAAGGATTTACTGGAGACTTATGTGAAACAGGTTAGTATTTGTGTTTGTGTGGGTGTGAGTATTTGAGACCTTTATTAGCCTTTACATTAAGAGTCATGCTGTGTGCTACGTCTACAGCTGTGACCACCCCCTGTATACCACCCTGCCAACATGGGGCTACCTGCAGTCCTCACAACACCTGTTCCTGTCCTGAGGGCACAGCAGGCCTGCGCTGTGAGAAACTGTGAGTATGAACACTCAAAAGACTTAAACGCTGAGAATCAATAAGAATCGATCAGCAGGTTTTCCACTATCTGCCTTGATTACCCACATATACACATGTGTAATGTCTTCAGAACACTGTAGCTTTTCTTCATGGATTTGAGTGTTTGTGTCTTTCCTAGGACATGCCCTGTGGTCACCACTGTGGTCAGCATGGCTCGGGCAGTGAGAAAGGCCTTTAGGGAAAGTTATGTTGACCGGTGTGGACCCCTTGGAGTTCAGTTTTGCACTAAATACAAGTAACATGTTTCCTTATTTCGTCCCCTTAATCTGGATTATACTTAATTATGTTTGTTTCATCTTTTTGAAGAAACAGATTGGTGTTGACTTATTGCAGAGCTGTTTCCTACAAAGTTCAATGGACTTCCGAGGACTTGCTGAGATACCTTCCTACATCTCACTTTCTTCTTCACATGAATTTACTGAAATATAAGGCATATTGACATGAATAAAATATACTATGAAAGTATTTGTAAAAAGTAGTTCAAGCTCAATTTGAAACCCTATGTACAAAGCAAATATAAGGTGTTCAATATGAGAATCATGATATATAAATGAGATAGATCCCAAGAGGTGAAACTGAAGAGTTACATCTGAGTATAATCATTTATGACAATGCTTTGTCTGCTTCCAGAATAAACCAGGCACGTGTGTACCTGCAAGCCTACAGAGTGGGCTACAAAATCCAGTGTCCACAGAGGAAGGGCAGGTGAAGCATTTGCATCTCACCCTGAGGAAACAACCAACAGACAACATTTGGGGAAACATAATAAGGCATGGCACAAGAAATTGAATGAGATGTTCAAAGCAGTCAAGACCTTTAATAAAGCCTCTATTTGCCTCAAGCTTGTTTATATGCTCTGTGACGTATTCTGAAAACAATCTTTGAACCAATTTTCTACACTATAAATTGTTGTTAGCATTGTGATATAAATAGTCCTTAAAATAAATTATGTGTGGTTTCATTATTTGCCATATTTTTATAAGGTAGGCCTAGCTAAAACCTATTAAATGTGACTATACATAATGGTGTCATATTGTGATGTGTGATTTTGTAAATGACAGGAAATACCTTTTTTTTTTGTTTGCTCAAGCATTGTGCAAATTGTGTAAATGTGAGATTAATGTATGGCCTAAGACAAAGTCCCTTAAACTAGAGGATCACAACTACTGCCAAAAGCTCAAATGAAAGGTTACAACGTAGACCAAAATCAATTGTGGAAAGAAATTAACTCAATCACAGTTATAAGTCTTAAAGAGTATAATTTGTCAATTAAAACTTTTCCAAGCGTGAGGTTGCACAGATTTCATAGTGGCATGGTGCCAGAGTGATCCCAAAGACGAAGTCCAACACAGGCTTTACCCCAGCAGGCATTGAGAAGGTGAAGTGCTGCATAAAAGAGGTGAATGAAAGGAAAAGTTCCATCTTTGCCAGGTTCTCACCAAGACACAGCCGCTTACCTGAAACAGGAAAACATGTTATTTTCACAAGGTCTTACTTACTTTTTAACGAAAGCACTTGTAAGAACTGCTTTACAGTCTGCTGATGCCTGGGTTGCTGACAAGCCTGTCTCTGCTTAGCCAAAACAAATAATCTCAAGATGTTTTGAGCCTTCAATAGCAAATTATTAATGTGTTAAAACTTTCATCTGATAATAATTATTATAATAGTGCTCACTTCTTGATCAACAAAATGTATTCAAGCCTGGCCAATACTTGAACATATATAATATATAAGAGTTTTCTTTATATTGTGGGTGGAGAGCAACTATATAAGACCTATGGCCTGTGGTCCTGCAGAAAAACACTGAAGTTCTGGCAGATTATAAAGCGGGAATGATTATGTCTACTAGCATAAAGGCAAGGCAAGGCAAGTTTATTTATATAGCACATTTCAGCAACAAGGCAATTCAAAGTTTGAATGGGGTGTGTATGTGACTTCCTGGGCTTCTGCAGCCAGCCTGAAGTGGACACTCAATGAACTGCGTGTCAGAACAAGCTCTGATCTAAAAACTAGGAAGGTCTTGTCAGCTAGGTGGGTGAATCGAAACTTGCTTTGAGTAGATATTGATAGTGGGTCGTTGTCAGGCTTTGTTTGGACTGAGCACTTAAGTTTCATTCTCTGAGCATCAACAGGAGAGGCAGTTGACGCGTGTCACACCCTCTGTTGATTGCAAGCTGAAAATCTGGGGCGTCTGACGCTTCAGCGTGGCCACAGAGCCTGAGCATCCACGACTACTGCTTTGCTTATTTTCTCTGGTCATCTGCTAAACGCAACATGTGCTACAAAGAAATCTCTGTCATTCATGGGAACAGGAAAAGACACATCTGTCATAGACAATGAAATCTCTGCTTAAGAAAGCCTCTTCTACCCACCCTTCATTTACTTTTGGTCTCTGGGACTGTCAGTCTGCTGTGAATAAAACTGAATTCATCCAAGCACTTGCAAAAATGTCAGACATTCAGGCACTTGCCCTTACTGAAACCTGGATCTGCCCAGAAAATACAGGCACAGCTGCTCTTTCTGTTGACACAGTGTTCTCACACACACCCCGCTCTGTTGGACGTGGAGATGGTACAGGTATTCTCATTTCTAATACCTGGAAATTCAATAAACTCTTCCCACTGAGCAACAACTCATTTGAATATCACACAATCTTGGTCACTGCTCCTATTAGAATGTACATTGCTATCATTTACCGCCAAAGAGGGTGTAATCTGAATGATTTTGTTGTGAACTGGACATGCTACTCTCAGAAATCCCTGATGATGGAACACCATGGATTGTAATGGGAGACATGAATATACGCACTGATAAAGCCCAGGCAACAGACTTCCTTGCTCTCCTATCCTCATTTGACCTCACGCAGGTCCCAACTCCTCCTACCCACAAAGCTGGCAACACTCTAGATTTAATTCTGACTCGGAACTGCTTGACAGCAAACCTGACTGTCACCCCTCTGCATCTATCAGACCACTTCTTTATTCAATTCACAATCTCCTTGCCGGAACTCCCTCAGGCACACCCACAAATGGTGTCATACCACCAAAACATGCGCAAAAGGTCTTTACCGCACTCTCTACAGACGAGGCTACAGACACACTCTGCTCCACACTAGCCTCATCTCTGAACAAGCTCTGCCCTCTGGTGTCCAAACCCGCTCGCAAAACCCACCCTAGCCCATGGCTCACGGAAGTCACAAGAGAGCAAAGAGCAGGGCTGAGGTCAGCAGAGAGAAAATGGCAAAAATGTAAACATACATGATCTCAATGACTATAAGCAAAGACTTGAAACGGTGAAAACGGCCAAGACAACATATTATCAGAACAAGATATGCAATGCCACAGATACAAGAAAAATGTTTTCTGCCTTTAACTCACTGCTTCAACCACCTCCTCCTCCACCCTCCGATCTGTTCACACCAGACATGTTTGCCTCGTATTTTACTGAAAAGGTTGCAACCATCAGTAACCATTTTTCTGAGCCTGACCAACTCAGCCCAAAGGCACCAACCAAAAGTGCCTCACTCGACTCATTCTCCTCTCTGACTGAGGATGAAGTCTCTAAGCTTGTGCTAGACTCTCGGCCCACCACCTGTCCTCTGGACCCAAAACCATCAAGCCTCCTGCAGACCATTTCCTCTCCGCTTAATGCTGCACTTAAGCATATCATCAACTCCTCTCTGTCAACGGGTGTGTTCCCCACCGCATTCAAGCAAGCTTGGGTCATCCCTCTGCTCAAAAAACCCACACTAAACCCAGCCCAGGTTGAAAACTACAGACCGGCTTCTGCCCTTTCTGTCAAACATACTTGAGCGCACAGTCTTTAAGCATGTCTCTGAGTTCCTGTCCAGAAACGATCTGTTTGACCCAAATCAGTCAGGCTTTAAGCGGGGCCACTCTACTGAAACTGCACTACTGTCAGTAACAGAATTGCTACAAGTTGCCAGAGCTGCGGGTCAGTACTAAATTCTATTACTGCTAGATCTGTCTGCTGCCTTTGACACAGTCAACCCTCAAATCCTTCTATCCACGCTCTCTGAACTTGGCATCTCAGGATCTGCCCTCTGCTGGTTTGTGTCCTACCTCTCTGGGCGATCCTTTAGAGTGTTGTGGAAGGGAGAAGTGTCCAAAGCGCACAGCTTATCCGCAGGGGTACCTCAAGGGTCAGTGCTTGGTCCCCTTCTCTTCTCCATATACACAAGCTCACTTGGTTCAATAATCCGCTCTCATGGCTTCTCATACCACTGCTATGCTGACGATACCCAGCTCTTCCTGTCATTCCCGCCAGACGATGTTGCAGTCTCTGCAAGAATCTCATCATGCCTTGCTGATATCTCTAAATGGATGAATGAACGCCACCTTCAACTCAATCTTTCAAAGACTGAGCTCCTTGTCATCCCAGCCAGTCCCTCTATGCAACCACAGATCAATATCCAGCTTGGAACAACCAAACTCATGCCCACAAAGTATGCCCGGAACCTGGGTGTCATGATTGATGACCAGCTAACTTTTAAGGTTCAAGTAGCCTCGATTGCCCAGTCATGTTGATTTGCCCTGTACAACATCAGGAAGATCAGACCTTACCTGTCAGAACATGCTACACAGCTCCTGGTACAGGCTCTTGTGATATCACGCATCGACTATTGCAACTCTCCACTGGCAGGTCTTCCTACATGCACTATCAAACCTCTGCAAATGATACAAAATGCAGCAACACGACTGGTCTTCAACCTTCCTAAAAGAACACATGTCACTCCGCTGTTCATCTCCTTACACTGGCTCCCAGTTACTGCTCGCATCAAATTTAAAACTCTGCTGCTCGCTTACAAAACAGTGACAAAAACAGCTCCTCCTTACTTTAACTCTCTCATCCAGGTCTAACTTGAGATTTGAAAGACTTGTATTTGTATTTAATTGATTTGATTATTTTAGGCCTCTTGGTGTCAATGACAGAATAAGGTTACTGGCTGATAGCGTCTGTACACAATTTGACAATCACCGCAACATCAATTAGTTCTAAATGCTGCAGAGTGTGAAGTGTCAAAGGACATGCTGGGATATCTCATGACGGGCGCCAGGCTGACGGTGTACATTCTTTAATATGTTAATCATGACAGGGTTCCAAAAAATATGAGTTCACCAAACCCAATCACTCTTTTTCCGTGATCCGCTCCTCGGACATGACAACAACATAACTCATACAAACACAGCCTAGTACTCCAGGTTTCTGTCCTAACGGTGTGTTCCCACTACACATTTTCAATTTGCTGTAAGAAATAGCAGGACAAATGTTAAGTGTACGCTGTGTTCGCAACAATAAACGACCCAAATCATCAGGACCCAAGCAGGGTCCCTGAACTTTGCCTTGTTCAAGCGTCTGGGTTGGCCCCAAAGTTAGCCAGAAGTAGGGAGGTTCGACCCTTTTATTTTAAGAGGTTGATTTCCAGTGTTTAGTTGTTTCCAAGTTTTAGGATGCAATGGTTTTGCATCAACTGCATCCATTATGTTGTATTTTGTCAACCTGTCTATTCACGGTTGCTGTTGTAACTGTAATTGGAGATAGTAATGACGCGAGATTGCTCATTCCTCAGCAATTCAGCTCCGGAAAATTATATTCTATTCACCCACATCATGAAAAACAAGCATGATGACGTAACTGAAGAATAATTGCTAGCTTAAGGGTCATTCTGCAATAACTGAGGAAGGCTATATTTTGCCTTTTTAATATCCTGTAATTACAGGTAAATAAAGACACAAATAAGACAAGGCATTGTGGCGCTCCTCACCTGCAGAGAAAGGGATGAAAGCAGCTTGTTTCACAAACTTGCCCTCCTCGTTCAGAAAGTGTCCTGGGTTGAAGGTAAAGGGCGTCTTCCACTTAGTCTGGTCATAAAGCACCGAGGTCAAATTGGGAATGACTGTAACTCCCTGTTAATTAGAATATTACAATAATATTATAAATGTAGGGTAGCTTTGAAGGTCGAAACACACACGCTAAAAACATTTTGTCAGAACACAACAGTCACAATCAAATAAGTCATTCCCTACCTTAAACGTTATCTGACCATAAAAAGATGTGTTTTTTGAAACGTCTTTGTGTTTTGTCAAGTGTTGTACTGTGATATGTTATCGTAACCTGTAAAATTTTGTTGCATTTTGTAGTGGGGAAAATGGGGAAAGAATTCATTTGAGGCCAAAAAAAAAAAATTATATAATGTGTAAAATGTATTACCTATAACTATGGTACTTTGTACTTCATTTGTTGAAAATCAAACTGCAGGATTAAGAAGAGCCAATGAGAAGTATCCTAAAGAGTGCATGCAGGGAGTCTAATTCAGGTTAGGGCTGCCCGATATAGGTAAAAACTGACATTGCAATATTTCTTTCCCTGTGATATATATTGCAATATTTGTAAAGTTTACTGCTTCACTCTGTTCAGCTGAATTCTCCATGACTCTCCCTGAAATGATGATTACAGACTCTCACCTGTCTGCATCTGTCTCTCGCTGCCTCTGGAAACGCTATTTGTGTTTGCAAAGAGTTTAATCATGTTGATGATCTGCTGTTAATTATTGATATTGATCTATAATGTTTCCTTCAAGTGATTCTTCTCACATCATGTCAGACTTTTAATAACATGCTCATGCACTGAGGTTCCATCATTTAAGTTTCCCTTCGCGACCAAATAATATTATGGGGATATTTATTAAATATGTTAACGTGCTGCATTGTAAAGAAATGTAATGTAACGCTCTCTCTGGCGCATGCGCACATCGCGATGACGATGCAGAAACAATGTATTGTGCAGCCCTAATTCAGGTCATGCAGTCTGATCAATCATAGAAGGCAGCACTATGGGTTTGAACTATATGAAGGTAGTCTAAAATGATCAGGGCAAACTACAGTATAGTAAATTCAAACATCTTCGAAGTGGAGACAGCTGCACAGCCTTGTTATGAAGTGCACAAGTTGCAAAGATGTCTGTGTGTGTGTGTGTGTGTGTGTGTGTGTGTGTGTGTGTGTGTTTGACTTTGTGTAACATGCATGATGCAAAAGTGAGCTTCAATCATATCGTAAATCAAAAGACAAGCATGACACTCTGTGGTTTCTTTGATTCTTTGTTCACAACCCATAAATGAGCAGGGATCCTGAGTGAGAGAATTCAGTTTGATGTTTACTCTAGTAAGCATGATATAAACCATTTTTTGTATCAGACTCTGATCATCTCCTGTAAAGTTCCCTTGTCCCTCTTGAGGTGTTTTTAGATGTTTGAATATGGACACTGTTGCTGTGCTTTACGTTAGCTTTTGTGTTCACTAAATGTGGTTGGTTTCTTGAATTTGTTCCATTATGACCTTCAGGGCCAACCTATATTTTCAAGATGGTTTGGCCATGGAAGTGTGTGTGACATTTCACATTTTCTGAGAAATTACCTTCGGGATTGTGTAGCCTCCCAGCTGGATATCCTTGTTGGCCATATGAGGGACACTGAGAGGAACTATGTTGCTCATTCTCTGGATTTCGTGGAGGACAGCATCTGTAAAGGGCATGCTTACACGATCTTCCATTGATGGCTGTCTGGACTGTCCAATCACTCTGTCTATCTCAGCCTGGACTTTTGCTTTGAGGAAGGGAAACAGATACATTAGTGAATAGATAGATATGTTTCTGTTTATTTAAAATCATTCAACCAGCCAAAAGAGGGCATGTCCTTTACATATGTGAAGGACTCTGGTGTTAGCTCAGGATTTCCTTTGTATAAAATGAAATGATATCATGTCTCAAAGTGATGATCTTTGCATTTTTTTTTAAATACATGTTTATGACCTTATTGGACATTTTTGAGCCTGGTCAGTGCCTGGTCAGTGCTCTTACCCTGGATCTCTGGGTACTTGGCCATGTAGAGGAAAGCCCAGCGCAGGGTGGTGGATGTGGTCTCAGAGCCGGCCACAAAAAGATCCAAGACGCACTCAATCAGGTTTTCCTCATCAAAAGTGTTGTCAGCTCTTCCCATATTCTAAAAATAAAAAACAAAATATGGGTTTTTTAAGATCAATAACTCAAGACCTCTGCACACAGCATTACTAAGCATATAAACTCAACAAGAACATCCAGTGTCCAACAGCACAGTGTCACAAATAAAGCATCATCCAGTGCCAGTTACCGTCTGTATCTCATTCAGGTAGCAGTCGATGTAGTCTCTTTGATCTGAGGAATCCCAGTTTTGTTTGTGCTTCTCAAGCTCTTCTCTTATGAAAACCTTGATATCGTTGCAAATGAGCAGAAATGTCTGATGAGGTCCTGGCAAATGTCTCATCAGCCGAGGGAATGAGTTGTAAAACTGCAGAGTAGAGCAGATTGTAATGATAACATATGGAGGAAGAACTTCAACATAAGACTTTCTTTTTGTAATAGTCAATGCTTGAGATTGGATTCCAGTAAACTTTCAAGTATTTTAAACATATTAGATCTTCAGTTGTATCATTGTTTTTAAACGCAACAATCATATTAACCCATCTGCATTGATGATACAGTTTCGCACTAAAAATATACATTTCATACCAATGGTACACAACTTAAATACTGTACCACAAGCTTGAAATTGTCATACCTGTGCCCAAATTGTTACTTGACATTGAAGTACTTCTTCAAAGTACATAATCAGTTTCCTGAACTTCTCATCGGTGTACTCAAAGCGATGCCCGAAAACCAGGGAGCAGATGATGTTGGAGATAGCGTTGCTGAGGATGAGGTGTGGATTGAAACGCTTACCTCCACAGAAACACAGAAAATCAAATAATAATTGGTATATGCAGTTTTCTCTTACTGAATTTGTTGTCTGTATAATGTATTCAATATTCACCTTTATACCCATTTAATTCTTTTAAACAATAGTTTAATTCATCCAAAACAACAGGTTCAAGGGACTTCTTGCCAATTCCAAAATTTCTGAGGGTTGAAAGTGCGAAACGCCTCTGCTGCTTCCACAAGTGCCCACTACTTAAAATGACACCTGATGAGAAATCCATGAATGTGAAGTGGGAAAAACATAGAAATTGGCAGAATGTTAAACACATTTTTTCATATAATTAGTCATTGATCTGCATTTTCTTTTGGTTTAGACCTTGATAAAATGTAATCATCTAAGTCATAGAGGAGACAGCATATTTCATTCAATTTCACAGTCAGGAGAGCTTTTATTAACACAACACAATTACACAGGGGATGGAGTTAAAAGGTTATCTTTACACATCAATTTTTTGTCAATTTATTATTGCAATAGAAAGCTCCAATCAGCAACTTGAGTTATTCAGATATCTATTCAATACTGCCTAATGTTGTTGTGGGTATTCACCTAGTCCTTTGGTCATATCCATATGCAGAGGGAGGGGTGGCCGGTCAGCCACACTGTCTCCTTGATTTACAAGAACTTCTTTCAGAGCCTCAAACCCATTCAAGACAACCAACCACTCCTGCCCCATCCGCAGGCTGTACACTTCTCCATATTTCCCTGCTAGCTGTGAGTAGATTCAAGAGAGGATATGATCTCAATGCTCATTTCACATGGAAAACATAAATAGAAGTGTCAGGTGACTGGTTATGTTTTAAATCATATATTTTTTACACATGCTCATTAACCTGGGTCATACTCTCATGGGTCCTGTTGTGGTCCACCGAGAAAATGTTGCCAATGATAGGTAGAGCCCAAGGTCCTGGAGGGAAGCTGGCCGGCCGGCGGTTCTTAATATAATCTGCAGTGAGGATAAAAATGGCAGTGAAGAGAAGGAAACTTTGGACATCCCAGTTCACATAGGTTCCAATGGCAGATGAAATTGAATCCATACTGCAAACCAAGGCTCAAGTCTGATTTACAAGATTATGCCTTCCTTGCTTCTTCAATGAGTGAAAAGTCTTGTGTTGCCCTTAACCATAAAATGTAACCTTTCCAACTGCTCTGGGGGAGAAACTTTTTTCATTGACTCTTGGCAACACCCCCACCAGATGTTCTAGTTGAGTTGAACTCTGATCTATTTATTCAATGGAAAGGGATACACAACACTGTAAATCAGTAACAGTAAGTCAATCATTCAGGTTCAGGTTCACATTTTATTTCACTAAATATAAAATTTTACTGACAGATCCACGTCATCATAATCATTCAAACCGATGGTTTTATTTAGGCTATAATCGCGCATGTAGTGAGCCGTTTCCGATAAGTAACTTTCATTATGACAATATATAAACATAACATTTAAAAAAAAATTTTTTTTTAAAAGTCCGCCTCATACATATTGCATCAGCGCCGTCTCGCCTTCATTATCCCGGACGGACCTCAGAGGACCGGACTTGTACACTAATGTAATCACTGATGTAGAGTTAAACATTAGACTAACACAAATACCATAGAGCCACCAGTTTTCATTAATATCTTTCAATATTGTGCATTTATCATCAAGTGTGGTTTTTAGTTTTAATAAAGATGACCGCGTCAAGACGCACAGAGCGCACGGAGCGCACAGAGACACGGTGTGGCTTCACACATTTCGCCTCCTCCATACTCAGCACATCATCATCAGCTGCACGTATTTATTCTGTAAATAATTCAAGTGTGGATATTAAGTTGGGGCATCTCTGACAGGATCATTAGGCCTATATATCCTCATAACGAGTCACAGAGCAGACGGAGATGCCCACGAAAAAAAGTGGCCAACAATCAAACGTTTTTGTTCGTTGATCAAACCTTTGATTAATAATATTAAACAGTGAGGGAGACTGCTGACTGATGTGTCCTCTCTGCCACTATATGAAGAAATCAGTGTGGGTCCCGTAAACATGTAAACATTGCAGATATTCTTGTGCGTAATGATGATGTTTTGGCACATAGGACAGGGTGAATGCAGCAGCAACGTGGTGTCATTCTCTGATTTTTCTTCAGTTTGTGGTCCTCCTGCTGCAGCAAACTACCGATATGTCCATTTTAACCTTCACTTCCAAAATGAGATCACACATTTCGGTGAAATCAAATTAAATATTCTCAAACAGGTTGTTGGTATAAAGTTGTCATTTGTATTGTGCTGCACTTTTTTTTCATTTGGGCCAATGTCAGTGTTGTGTGGAGTTTAAGTGCCAGTTCTAGTGATAGCCCTTCGCAGTCCTACAGCGTGGCTGCCAACAGTCAATAATAAATAATATTATTATGAATATATATATATATATATAACAGAAAAATAACCTACATTAAAACAAATATTAATAAAAACTTACTTAATTTTCTTGACTCTGACCGTCCATGTCCGCTTCAGCTCTGATTCAAGCTCAACAAAGAGGGCTTGAGGGGGCCTGCTTTGTTTTCCCTTAGTGGTTTTAGGGGCATCTGGGATCTGTCCCTTAAGGAGGGGGTTATGTCATGATTCAGTATTATTTAGTTTTGTATTTTCAGTGTTTAGTGTTTCTTTAAGTTCTAGTGTGTTTTGTTCATTCTTGAGTTCTGTGTGTCTTCAGTGTTTCATGTATTTATTTTGTAGTTGTCTTCAGTGTTTCATGTGTCCATTCCTTCCTCTGTGTGTTTCCCTCCATTGTGATTGCCCTCATTGTCGTCACCTGTGTTATTAGTCTCACCTGTGTTTGATTAGGAATAAAATCAATCAAATCAAAATACACCTGCACCTTGATTGTGTCGAGGGACGGGCTGCACTTCTCCATCAGTTTATCCAGACACAGCTGTGAAGAGCAAATCAGTGACTATAACCCTTAAAAGATGTATTTTTTCTATGTCAATTCAAAATATAAATGTTGCTTCGCCTCATGACATCAGTATTTAGAAATTCCTGAAACAACATAAATCTCAAGAAGTGTATTTGTCTAATCTTTCTTGTTTTTATTCCAATGGTTTATTCTGATGATTTATTATTTTATTTTTAATCTCTGTAGCACTTTGAGATTTATTCCAAAAACATAAAGTGCATTACAAATAAAATGTATTATTATTATCATTATTATTCTTATTATTATTATCTCTGGTTAAAAAAAATCTAATTACATGAATTACAAGGCACATTTAATGACAAGTCCCTCCCACCCACCCAGCCAGAATGTGCTCCGGCATTTCTTCATAATGTAACTGACGTACTGTATAGAGAGGGTTTTTACACAGATTTTGAAAATACTCATAAAAGTATAGGACTTCATTGTTCATGGAAAACGGAGAACAATTACTATTAACTGTATGGTTTTTAATTCTGTTGTAATCTTTTGTATTGTTTTTCAGTGTTACCTTTGTTTGGATAGGCCTATTAGTGCGTGTGCTTGGCTGTGAATGCTTTAACCACCTCCAGGGACGGTAGTCTGGCACCCTTATTTTGGGGGTTGTGAGCTGGAAATGTATTAACTTTAAGAATATATTTTCATATGGTAATTTATAGATACATCAAAATGAATTTACTAATAGTCATCAACAAAAATGTTTTTTTTTCTTTAATACAAGAAGAAGTGTTATAAGGAGAAAAAATAATTGAACACTGTAGTAAACTCACCTCTTCAAGTTTCTGCACATCTTGTTTGGTCAGTATCCGGTCCACATTAAAGCCATTTCTAGGGTCCAGCACCACAGCTTTCACCTGACAAAATGCAAACAGGACAAAACAATGTATGTATTAAATACAGTATATAATTAGTATATATGATAAATATAAATAAACAGTTTATAAATGGAGTTTTAATGTCCTCCACACATGCCAGACTGGTTAGTAGAAGGGGAGCTGTAGCCTATATTTAGGTTTAAATAAATATAAAATGACATTTTTAACTATTATTTGAACGGTTTTAACCTGTTAACACATGAAAAAGATTGACGACTGTCTTAACTTAATTCATATCAAGCATTAAACATGTTGAACTAGTGGTAGTTACCAGCTAACTTTAAGCTACAACGTAGTTAGCAGGTTAGTCCTGGTTACTGACCATGAAAGCCACCAGAGTTTCAGACACCGCATGTCCTCTCACCGCACACTCCCGCACTATGTCACCAATAATGTTTTTAATGAGGCTTTCTGCGTGACCTCCAGACATTATGTCGTCAATGTCTGTTGTTAATCACACAGACTGGGTTAAATGTGCCAAAACAGCTAGCAAAGCCGAGAGCAACCTGTTGATAATTGGTTACCACAGTAACAGGGCCAGTCTCGGATGCATTACGTCAGTCTCTCCTCTCGAGGGCGGTATAATCCAGCTGTACGCTTCCGCCATTAGTTCGTAATTTATTTTTATTTTTTTTATCTTTATTTTGCGAAGTTTTATGAGGATTAGTGTGACAGTGACCTAGCTAAAAAAGACAACCGAAAAATAAAAAAAAGTTATTTAAAAAAAGATTGCCCTGACATACGGGAGAAGGGAGGATGGGTGAGTGTTCATGAGTGAATATTTACATCTACAGAGGAGATCAAACAACCTGATTCTCCGTTTAATACAAAGCCACTTTCATTTGTATAAAACTCACTCAAATCCTTGCGACATGCTGCAAGTGAAGTTTATTTATAGAGCACATTTCAGCAACAAGGCGATTCACACAAGACATCAAAAGCATCAGGACAAAGGGAAAAGGAGAGACTAAAATAGACTGTTTTAAATTCACTGAAACAACCACAACAATCAGAAGAGAAGATTAAATATGAAAATATGATGACAAATAAGATCTTAAAGGAATAAATAAATAACACTAAGAAAATAAATAAGCCCAGATTTGAAATGCAGTTTGTCAAACAAGGAGAGAACCTTTACTGCACTGCACTTTCATAAACATTGGTGACATATAAGAGGCTATTTTAAAAACACCTTTTTCAATCAAAGCAGCACAGGCTGAAAGTTCAGACCTGCTATGTACCACTACATCCTACATAGAATAATCATGTCACTTATTCACTCGATGGGTCTCATTTAAGATTGGGTAGATGGCTGCATGAGAGCTACTCATTTTATATATTTTTAAATGATACAATAAAAAAAAAAATCAGTTCAGAAATGATGACATGTCTTATTGTTATCTCCGGCCTTTAGAGCATCTGAAGTAATCTGAGCTGTGAAACCTGAAGACAGCACACTACAGTTTTTCAATGTCTCAGATATCCTTTTCTAAAGTCTGAGAAAAGCAACCTACCTACCTACATTACTCGACAAAACAAAAAGCTTATTTTTGGCTTCAAACCAAAGTTGTTAATTGAATGCACACTCCACATCTAACCTCAGACACACATTTCAAAATACTCCGGCGTAGGAATAGGCTTGAGAAGATGTCTGATCAGAGGCTTACTATAAATATATTTACTTGGCATACTTTTCATTGTCATCCCTGAGCCAATGAGTTTTTTATTTTTATTTTAATCGTCTCATTCATTTTTCAAAATAGGCTACACTGGGATTTTCTGGAGATTAGGAGTAAAATGATTCTCATGTACAGAGAAAATGGTCTGTTGTTATAAGGTGTAAAACAAAAACATAAGCTTACTGTCTCATATAGAAGAATAGAGGTCTATGAATAACCAAGAGGGGCGCCGGTAGTACAGTGGTTCATCAACACGCCCCATGTACAGAGTCTACAGTCCTAGGCTTGAATCCGACCTGCGGCGTGTTGTTCCCCACTCTCTCACCCTGATTTCTTACTCTATCTCCCACTGCCTTGTCTCTCAAATAAAGACATAAAGAAATAAACCTTTGTAAAAAAGAAAGTATAACCCAAAACGCAAGGATGTTGTGTATAGGTACAGGAACATTAACTTTAGCTTGAAGGTTTAATGCAACCCCAGAGAATGTCTGCATGTTTTTTTTCATGTAACTTGAATCTGCTTTTTCCCACAATGATCTATTTTTGATAAAAATGTTAATCAGTCATATCTGTTGAGCTGCTGCTGCAGGAGCACACAAACATGTAGAGAACATTCAGATTCTTTCATTAAGTGTTTAGTATATTCAGTAATAACACGAACAGCTGTCCTAATTGTGTTTAGAGATCTACAAACTAATTGGGTAAAATCATAACTGTAAAATACAGGTTTCTTGAGACTTTTTAATCCGAGTTGTTTCAACAATCTTTCTGATTTAAAGTAAGAATTCAGGTTAAAATGTGTTCCTTAGAAATCTGAATGATTACAGTACATGTCTGTGTTCAATCTACTTGTTTGTTGTTGACAGAGCGGCTTTGTGTCCCGCTTTGGAGCGAAGCAGGGCTTGGAGAGCCAGGTGAAGGTGTGCTGTTGGACTCTGCTGGCCTTGGCGGTGAGCATCCTGACCTACTGCGTTTGGAAGAGTGATTTAGCCAACACTGCCACCTACCGACCACAACCAGGAACTGTCAGACTGAGCGACAGTATGGAAATGTCTGAAGAGGTGGTTTAAGATGCATCCAGATTTATAAGATTTATTAGTAAGCTGGATAATCAATATGTTACATTCAAACTATCAGTAGAGTTCAAACGCCAAACACTGCATGTGATATCTGATGAACACTTTCAGCTTGTAATTTAATCATTAAATTTTTGTTATTTTTTAGTGTAATTATGTATGTGCTCTTTGTCTAAATTTCAACAGCACCTTTATCTACAATGAATAAAAATAACAAAACATTGAATGAACCACATTTATATCCAGAATCTCCATCATTGTCTTACTACTTTTCATTTAAGTCACATTATAACAGATGTTGGTTTACTTCTGTATTTCTGGCAAAACACCAGCCATGCAACTACACCTTATCTACAGTGTAGAGCCTCTACTCTAATAAATACTTTGACTTCATAGTTATATCTCATGAATTTGAAGGTAGCCTGTGAATACTATTAAACACATTAAGACTTCAAAAATGCAGAAGAATCTTTTATTCACATGAACAGCAGACAGAACAGTGAAAACTGGAAAACAAGAAAACACTTGGTTAGAACATTCCATTTTCATGGCAGATTTGCCAGCAAACCTTTGGACAATTTAAGGTTTAGGCAAGCTCCTCCTCGCCTTCCTCCTCAAATTCTCCCTCCTCCTCTGCGGTGGCGTCCTGGTACTGCTGGTACTCGGACACCAGGTCGTTCATGTTGCTCTCAGCCTCGGTGAACTCCATCTCATCCATACCCTCGCCGGTGTACCAATGGAGGAAAGCTTTGCGCCTGAACATGGCTGTGAACTGCTCAGAGATGCGCTTGAACAGCTCCTGGATGGCTTGAGGCCACGGGGAGGGATGTCACAGACAGCGGTCTTCACGTTGTTGGGGATCCATTCAACAAAGTAGCTGCTGTTTTTGTTCTGCACATTCAGCATCTGTTCATCCACCTCCTTCATGGACATGTGGCCACGGAAGATAGCAGCCACGGTCAGGTAGCGGCCATGACGTGGGTCGCAGGCAGCCATCATGTTCTTGGCGTCGAACATCTGCTGGGTGAGCTCTGGTACAGTGAGGGACCTGTACTGCAGGCTGCCTCAGCTTGTGAGGGGAGCGAAGCCTGGAATGAAAAAGTGGAGACGAGGGAATGGCACCATGTTTACAGCCAGCTTCCTCAGGTCAGCATTGAGCTGTCCGGGGAACCTGAGGCAGGTGGCAACACCGCTCATGGTGGCAGAGACAAGGTGGTTGAGGTCACCATATGAGGGGGTTGTAAGTTTAAGGGTGCGGAAACAGATGTCATACAGAGCCTCGTTGTCAATACAGAAGGTTTGGTCTGTGTTTTCTACAAGCTGGTGGACTGACAGTGTGGCGTTGTAGGGCTCAACGACTGTGTCTGATACTTTGGCTGAGGGTACCACGCTGTAGGTTTTCATAATACGGTCGGGGTACTCCTCACGGATTTTGCTGATGAGCAGTGTGCCCATCCCAGAGCCAGTACCACCACCAAGAGAGTGTGTGAGCTGGAAGCCCTGCAGGCAGTCACAGTTCTCTGCCTCCTTCCTCACTACATCCAGGACAGTGTCCACCAGCTCTGCACCCTCCATGTAGTGACCTTTGGCCCAGTTGTTGCCAGCACCACTCTGGCCTAGAAGAGGAAAGAAAAAAAAAGGGGGGGGGAATTAAGCTTAACAGTACTTAAATCCAAAATGAGAAGTAGCTAGTAGAGAAGGAATGCAAGGACAAATGAACAATTACCGTGAACAAAGTTGTCTGGCCTGAAGATCTGGCCGTAGGGTCCGGATCTCACCGAGTGCATGGTTCCTGGCTCCAGATCCACCAGCACAGCACGGGGAACATATTTACCACCTTCAAGAAGCATAAAGGACATAATGGCAATGTTCACCAAAAAAAATAAAAATAAAAAGCCATAAAGTTCATGCGCCTATTAAAACATCTAATTCAACCTTACCTGTGGCTTCATTGTAGTAGACATTGATCCTGTCAAGCTGCAGGTCACTGTCACCGTGGTATGTGCCAGTTGGGTCAATGCCGTGCTCATCACTGATCACCTCCCAAAACTGAAATACAATAAAAGCCGTGCGATTGCGAAGCTTTTTGTACTTCAAACTATTTTAAAAACACAATTTAGTATCGGGTTTTGATTTACAAAAGACACCGGAGGGTAAAAGAAGAGCTCTGTGTGTGTTTGGACTGAAACTAGAGGGGATTAAAGTGGTAAATTGTGGGACCGCTGTCATGTTCCTGCTTTAAAGCAGCGATCGCTCTGTGACAGAAGAGAAGTGTTAACAGATTCTTCACTAACGTATTAACAACTGTCACGTCACATAAATATGTTGGTGAAAATGTCTCTAAACGAAGGAACACTACATTAAATCCTCTTACTGAAAAATAAATGTCAAAATAAAAAGTTTGCTAGCTCGATATAACACCTCGTCTCGTCCCACTCGTCATTATTTACACTCACGTTTGAATACAAAATGTTTTAATCTCATCCAGGTGACTTTACACGTGTTATTCTTTACTAAATCAGATGATAACTCAGAGTGTATGTCCCCTTTTCTCTAAAATAAACGTCTGTAACCACTCCATTACAGCTATGAACACTGTTAGAAACTATTACAAATACATATTTAAAAATAAAGATCCCCTCGGGTAACACGGTTAATAATTACTCATCAGGTGTTTAAAGTCAGTTTCCACTGATGACTCGTTTGAGCAGTTTGACGGAGAGAGATTAAACGGACACTCACGTACATGGTTAATTTTATACCGTT